AAGGGCGTTCTCCAGGCTGTGGCGAAGATCGGACGGATAAAGGTGTGTCCTCTTCCACCGGCGCGTTCTCGAGGCGTCCTCGAGGCGTCCTCGAGGCTGTGGCGAAGATCGGACGGATAAAGGTGCGTCCTCTTCTACCGGCGCGTTCTAAGGGCGTTCTCCAGGCTGTGGCGAAGATCGGACGGATAAAGGTGTATCCTCTTCCACCGGCGCGTTCTAAGGGCGTTCTCCAGGCTGTAGCGAAGATCGAAAGTAGAAGAATAAAAGTAGTAAGGTAGGGATGACATAAGAATCTCTTGGCGAAAGACCCTACGAAAATAAATCGAAAACGGAATAGTCTATAATTATATAATATAGCATGTGATAATTAAAGAGAAGAGAGATGGGGTAAAGAGTAACTCTTTTCTATTCCTAACGCCGCCCTACTTCACTTTTAAGATTCTAGAAGGTTCTAGAGGGTATATTAGTAGGAGATTAAGGTCTAAATCTAGTAAAAAGTAAATTAAGAGGAGGAAAGGGGACCCTAACGCTACCCTCCAGCTACTGTAATTTCTGGCCCTAACCTAACATCCCTAGGCCGTTTTTTCCCTATAGTATATACCTTATTAATAAAGTAGCTTAATATCGCCTTCTACGTCGAAATATTAAAGGTTATATATCTAAGAGGGTATTAATATTAGTTATTAATTATCGCCCTCTACCGCTTATTCCGCTAGAGAGTTCCTAGATATTAAATTAGGAACGTTATCTAGTTATTAAAGTATAGCTTTTACGCGAGGACGGTCTCTATCTCTTAGACTTTTACCTTCTACTCCGGCCTTAACTATTTCTTAGATATCGCTACTAGATAAGAGATATTATCGTAGTTAAAGTAAGTATAATACTAGAATAGATCTTAAGTATCTAACGTACTAAGTTTAATCTAGACTTACGCGTAACTATTTAGGAGATTAAGTATCTTACGATTTACTTATAACTAGATTAAGAGTTTAAGTAGAAGTAAATCTAGAATAACTTAAACGTTAGGATATTAAATATAATAAGGCCTTAATTAGGCTATTAAGGCGATAGAGTTTAAGTTAAGGTTTTAGTAAGGTAAGGATAGAGAAGGATAAGATAGAAAGATATTAGAGATTAAAGGGGGGAGGATTAATAGATATATATATACGGACGAACGTACTATAGTTATAAATATTATAGAGCTACTATCGCTCCTCTAGAATATTAACCTTTTAGGCTCTTAGATATTCTTTTAATATCTTAACGCGATAGTAACCGACGAGTAGTTCTATAGACTCTAGGTTAACCTACGCTTAGTTAAGGAAAGATAGTTATATTACTACGGAATATCCTTCTTAAGACTAATCGCGCGATTAACTCCCCCCTTTACGCGGTAACTACTATTAACTATCCCCTATACTTCTCCCTCGATCCGCTACTACCCCTTACTAGAGGTTCTAGAAAATACTAGCTAGTATTCGCTTAACCTTAACCTTAATATATATAATTTAAAGGGTATTCTTCTACTTAGTATAGTAGAGCCCGGTAGAGAAGGTTTAGTAGAGCTACCGTCGATATATAGAGTTAATCGACCGATTTATCTTCTACGTCTAGACGGGCGTAAGGATATTAGTAGGGAAAATAGCGGTTATTAGACGGTATAGCTTAGTCTACTTAAGGAGCGATAATTAAGTAAGAGAGGGCTAATTAGATATAGTAGGACGTTAACGCTTTAGTAGTTAATAGTAAGTAATAATAATATCTCCTTTACGCTTTATACTAGCTCTAGATAAATAATAAGGGTAGTATTAATAAGTAGTTAAGGGGAGGGAAGGTAGAAAAGAGAGGGAGAAGAAGATAAGAAGGAGAACTAAAGTTAATTTATAAAGTCAAATTATTCTATCCTCTAGAGGACGCTTTAGCTAAATCTCCTAGACTATCGTCTCGTAGTCTAAGAGATAGTACTTAATCTATAAGAGGTCTATCCTCTAGGGGACGCTTTAGCTAGAACTCTTAGACGGTATCTCGTAGTCTAAGAGATTAGACTTAATCTATAAGAGGTCTATCCCCTAGGGGACGCTTTAGCTAGAACTCTTAGATAGTATCTTATAGTATAAGAGATAGGACTTACCCTAAGAGGTCTATCCCCTAGGGGACGCTTTAGCTAGAACTCTTAGACGGTATCTATCCCCTAGGGGACGCTTTAGCTAGAACCCTTAGACGGTATCTCGTAGTCCGAGCGATAGGACTTACCTTAAGAGGTCTATCCCCTAGGGGACGCTTCTTATTATAGTAGATAAGCTACTACCGACCGGAGGTTCCCTCCTAGCCGGTTATTTTAGGGAAATTTCTAGCCCTAACCTGACATCCCTAGGCCGTTTTTTCCCTATAGTATAGGGTATACGGTTATATTTCCTACCTTAGCGAGATGAGGAGATAGTATATACTAATCGAAAAAGAAAACGTATAGTTATATATTACACTACGTTTACGATTATAAGGCTGACTTCGATAACTCTAATAAGGCTTAGATCGAAGGAGATGTATATCGTTAAAAGTATATAACCTAACATCGCCTGGATGGAGCTGCATCGCTACCTAAGGGATCGTAGAATCGATTAAGTTCTTATCATCGGTTATATATATATAAGTCCTCCGCCGTATAACTATCCGGACTCGAAGAGTAGTACTATATATATAGCCCCCTATAATATAAATCTAGAATCCTTAGCTAGATCCGTCGCGATCTAGCTTATAGGGATAACTACTATAAAAGAAAAATATCTAATGGAGAACGTTAACCCTAAGGGGTAGAAGAAGGATGGAGGTTCTAGAGGGTATATCAGTAGGAGATTAAGGTCTAAATATAGTAAAAAGTAAATTAAGAGAAGGAAAGAGGACCCTAACGCTACCCTCTAGCTACTATAATACCTCGTATACATCGAAGGGATCGATGGGATTAGGTAAAGCCCGCCTGATAGAGCTGTAACGCGTAAAGCTTGTAAGGGTCTCTGAGAGCTCGAGCATTTCAGGCGTCCTTTCGCGGAATCTGCTGGATCGGATCGTTGGTAAGTGGCGGGCGAGATCGAGCTATATCGTCCTCGGACCAGAGAATACCGTTTCCGGCACGCAGTAATTCGTCCGTAATGACCGTGGTCTTCCTGAGGGTACTGATGAATCCTTCGCTCTGCTCCTCCTGACGCTCCTCGAGGATCAGAAGGACCCGGGCGGACCGCACACTGGGATCAGACCACGGAGCATCGTCCCAGAGATCAGATGCCTTAGCCCATAGCTGAAATCGCTTAAACGGTATAGTGGCGGCGCCGCCGGGACATTTCTGGAGAGCATCCTGAAGCCTTTTCGACTTTGGGGGATAAAGAAGTTCGATCTCGTCCGTTGGGTGACCTATTGGACGGAATAGAACGGCCATTCGAAGAAAGGCGTAATAGCCCCAAGGGGCGATTACATGACACCGGATATACTGGGACTCCAAGGTCTGCCTGGCATGTCGCAGAATGGCGGCGACCATGGCGGGATCCTCCCCGAACCGTGACCTCGCGAGGCTAGCGACGAGGGTCTCAAAGAGGAAACGCCAGACGGTGGCGTCGCAATTTCGTTGAAGACCACAACCGAATCTTCGAAAGCGCTTGGTGGGCATGCTACGGAAGGCGTTGGATTTGATGTAGGAGGGAGAGGCGATCGAGACCATTAGGCGCTGTAACTTGTCCTCGAGATCAACCAGATCTTCTTTCACTTGGTATTTGGTGTGGTCCTCGTATTGCTGAACCAAGGGTTCCGGTTTCGACTCGAGATAACGACGTCGACCTCGGTCCCTTAAATACAATTCAACATGTTCTTCGTCGAGAATCTTCAGCCCACCCACGTCGACCAACACAATTCGGAACTGGCTGGGCTTGTCCCCGACGATCAGGAAGTTGGCTCCCGCCACATCATCGTAGTGGAGTCCTTGCAGCCATAACCGGTAGGCTAAATCAAGGATCTGACGGTGGATGGTCTGCCAGTGTTCATCCAAAAGAAGCCTCTTCTTAGTACCGGCGCCATTTTCCGGGGCACCTGGGTTTTCCTTGGCTAGATAGAGAGTCTCCAACGTATTGGCGTCCTCAATAAATGAGGTGATGATGACGGGATAGTGGTGTAGTTGTGGGGCGGGAGTAGCTTGCTCGCGCGCTCGGACGATGAAGCCAGATGTGATGAAGGATAGGAAACCGTCTAAACCATTAACGGCATCGAAGCACTTGCGCTGGTGGGAATAATCTTGCTGCATCAGCGTGAACAGGAACGCCTCCTTCTCGGCCGCCGGGAGTGAGCGGACGGGGAAGTTCGGATCGTCGGTTCGAACGTCGGCGTAGGAAACGTCGAGGTTGAAGCGTACGAGATCTAGTCGACTCGTCGAGGCTCGTCCAACCAGCTTTTCCAAAAGTGCTCTTTGATTCCATTCAAGGTCAGCGTTCTCCTGGCGCCAGTACGTTAGGTCGAGGCATTCGTCGTTCGCCGTCAGTTGGTCGAGGGTGGCCGCACACTCTAGCGTGAAAGGCCCGCAGTTATACTGGGCGCGCAAGCCTTGGGAGTATTTGAAGTCAAACACTTTCAGAACATAGCGGAGTCCGTGATGTATCGGAGGGACGGCCTTGTCGGCGCGATGGACAGTCACGAGGAGACAGCAGGACATTGTACATCCCTGGCCTTTCCGGCCTTCCAAAACCTGGACCACGGTAAAGTACGATTCACACTCACCGTCCACCATCTTTTTGAAGAAGAGCTTGTCCCCAGGAGAGTAGGGGCCCGGAAGACATCTCGGGTTGGGAATCGAGCGATCGAGTTCGTCGCCGGCGCCGAAGGTGGCATCGTTGTTACCGTGAGCGTAGGGCGTGTCGAACGTGGGCCCGTAGGGTACGGCCACGACTGACATGATCGGAGCGTGTGGTATGATAGGGTAGACCGTGACGAAGAGGGAGGAGGAGACCGTGATGCCACGGTAGGAAAATCCCGAGATATACTTAAAGAATAAGGAAATGAGGATAAGAAGGCGGATAGTGAGTTGTTGCGGAGGCTTGGCCGCGACTTCGTGGTGGAGATATTGTAGAGGAATGAAGAGAAGGGACGTGGCTAAGACTAAATAACAATAGTTAGTGGCCGATCTTACTCATCTCGAGGGTAACTTTTCATTCATCGTGACTTTATGACGACCTTATCCTCTATCTCGCCTCTTTAGTCAGGTCTGTTAGTTACTTACCTCCTTGAATTCACTTTGACCGAGTATTTATATAGGTAGTGAAAGTAAATTCGAGTAGATAGCGGTAGGTAAGGTCATCAGAAGGGAAGGCACCAAACGGACCTTCCTAGTGTTAAACCCTTCCTCTTATCTAACCTTCGTCTCTTCTCCACTCTTCTTCCTTTCCAACTAATCTTTCTTTCTTACCTTTCGATCTCCTTCTTCTTAGGTAAATCTAGTAGTCTTTGATAATTATTAGACTATAGTAATTACTCGTCTAATAAACCCTGGCTATGCTTTCGTCTTCTTCTTAAATCTACTTCTTAGTCCTAACCTATACCCATAGATCTATATTTATCTAATATTATACCTCGCGTAACTAAGTATAGCGTGCGTACGCCTACGACGAAGGAGGATATAATAGTATAGACGACCCACTATCGTCGTTAGATATACTATTAACTTTAATAGTGTAACGGTACGGCACGCTATAAAAGGAGAAGGCTCCTAATCATGTATTATAATAGGTTAAACCCAGGAGAAGGCTTAGTTCTAGCGAACTAGCGCTAAGACTAACGCTAGGACTAACGCTACCTCCTAGTTAGCCGAATTTACCCATATAATATATAGATAAAATATAGCCTTCTAATAAGATAAGATATATACGATATAAGAGATATAGGATCCTAGTAGCTAAGATACCGTATGTAAGGGAAGGTAAGGAAGAGAGATAAGGTATAAGGGGAAATATAGGGAAAGAATGGCATATACGGAAGAGGAAGGAAAATGAAGAAAGGGGAAGATAATAGGTATCCCTTATAGAGGAGCGTACGATATAAGAGGAGAGAGAGAGGACGTTATTCCTTCTTCTTCTCTCCTTAGATTTATCTGTTAGAAATGACCTTCATGCGACCTAAGGGACAGGAGAGCCCGGGAAAGTCTACCGACTACGACAGCCTAATTAGACGGGAGATAGGAATAAGGCTAGATTACGTACCGTACGTAACTACTAAAAAGGGAAAAATACGATATATCGATATATTAGTATAGGATATATTAATATACTATTATACTAACTCTAGTTATCTATTCGAGGCGGACCTTATAAGTATATAGCTACGCTTATTACCCTTTTATAGTTACACTCTCTCGTAGCTAACTTATAATATCTACTTTACTAGACTATTCGAAAGTTATAAGACTATTTATACCTTACGTACTCTCGACCTAGCTTATACAATACTAAAGGAACTGTAACTAAGGAAGCTTAACCTAGTTAAGCTATACAGGAAGTAGCTCTGACATTATCCTCCTTATTACTAGGTTAGCTAGCTAGTTATAGAACTCTTTCTAAACCCTTACGGTAGTGAAAGCTCTACTGACCTATGATATGACGCCTAATCCTAATAGTGTACTAGGTAGTGAAGTAAATCAGGAACGTTATGGTAAGAGATGATAGGATAAGCTATTTCCTTTAGCTTAACTAATCAAGTAAGCTTAATACCATTTCTGTGCGTGAGTCCAGCAGAGCCCGCTGTGTCCGATATTTGAGTAGTAGATCTGTGGAGGGTAGAAACCTCTTTACTTTCCTTCATTTTCATGGTTTGAGGATGCTGTGATGGCTGAATGTTTCGAGGTTGTTGAACAGGAGGGGGTGTAGCTTTCAGAAGGTGAAAATTCCCTACGCCGTTTTCGCCCTCGACATTTTTCAGGCGTGTCAGCCTCCCAGCTACCACCTCTGTCGTGGCTGGACTCATCCAACTCATCATCTCGAGGCTGTTCCATAGCATCTTGCCTCGGCCGCTTGGTTGGACTCTGGCTACGGCCACGCAGCGTGAAGCTTTCGTCTCGGCACTTCAAGGTTTCTACCTTCCGGGTTTCCTCCGTTTGATCTGAGGCCCAATAGGTGATCCAACGGTCGTATCCCGACTTGAGGAATTTATCGAGGAAGTTTAGGATCGTCCATGCGAACCTGCCAAATAAGTATTCCGCTTTGATTCCGTACAGTGGCTGAGTTTGTCGATCGTGGTAGAGTTCTATAAGCTCTTGTCGTTGTCTTACCGCTCGCATCATATAAGTGACCCAAACTCTTTTCCCATCCTCACGCTTTCTTGGTAGTATTGTGAAGATCCTTGCATCAAAGAGCTTGTGGACATCGGCTTTCAAGAGAATAGAATTGGTTGTTTCATCCTCTTCCAGAGTAAACAGAGCACTAACCCTGTACCACTCTGATTCTCCATCAGGAATGATATGAGCCAACTCGGTGCCATGAACGTGGTGTGTAACTCTGCAAGACTGGTCACGAATTGCTACGTCTGCGCGCTTGGAAATGGCGATGTGTGCGGTTGATGGGGAGACAGGTTCGATAAGAGGTCCTTTCCAAGACTCAGGAAGCTCTGTGGGAGGCCTCCAATGCCTGAAGGATGGATATACAGGATACATAGGGTCTCCTACTTCTAGTTAGCTTTTGGTGCGTTTTTGGGAGTGAAACAGGCTAACCAGGGACATGGAAAAAGTAGCCATCCTCACGGAACTCAAGTTGTTCCTGCGCCAGATCGACCCTCTCCTGGCCTGCCGAATCCAGCGTTAAAAAGCCATCATATCTGTTGCATGCTACTAGTCCACATGCTGTGCGAGCAATTTGATGGTCCAGAGTATCAGCATCATCGTATGCCGGAAGAGTTAACAAGGTTTGTGCCGGTTTAGGATAGCCAGGATGGAGGAAGATAATGAATTTAGGCAATGTAGAATCGGCACTCCATGGATGAGAATATGGTTGTCGAGGCGTGATATGATAAATGTATGAAGTTGAATGGCCCGGATGGGGGCATGGATGTTCGGCAATTGCAGACAACGCGTCAATCACCGCGTCGTGCACGTGTTCGGATTCTTCCCCGCGCCAATTGAAATCAAAAATAAGGTTATCGAAGTATGATCAGCCCTTGATGCTAGTGTCACGATTAGAATCTTCATCAGCGCCAGCTTGTTCCGCATCTCCCCAAGTACATATCATCTTCATCTAGCGTAGGCATGGCGTCAAGCTCTCCCAGCTCTGGGCCCCCTACGAAGTAATCAAAGTAGTTGAGTGCTCTCGCACGCAGCCGCAGGCTCAAGGATGTCTCCCTTGCCTTACAGAACTATGATAAAAGTGAGCGAGCCCCGATTCGCACCTGCCCATATTACCTTCCTGAGCTGTTTCGAAGCATCTTGTCCTCGAATATACGAAAGATACAGCGTACGGTTCCGAGGAGACCGAGAACGTCGGAAACGAAACCCAACACATCGTCTGAGTCGTTTAAATTCTGCATCAGTGGCTTTAGCCACACCCATTATAGATAACACGACACCTCATACAGTAGGCTGTGAGCGAGGTGTAGGAGCTGCACCTATCTCTCCGTCTGAAGGAATACTTGGCACGGCCGCAGTTGCACAGACCAAACTGAACCCTTCCCTTCAGATATGGTATCCTCAGAACAGGCGACTCCGGCCCAGGGGCAACATCTCTGGTCTTCATGCATCGATTGGAATTCGACATCTCCAGGTGTCCTGCCTTCTATACCTGGATGAGCTCGAGGTCATTGCTGGACTTATATTCAGGGATGCTACCTCTGAAAGGAGAACTGACCTCGTTTCGGAGCCTCTGAACAATGGGCCCCCGCATACCGACAAATTTAGCCGGTCAATCTTAGATCACACTTCAGATATCGATGATCGAGAGCCCGAGGACGCCAAACGATACAGCCCATTCAGCTGAGGCCTTGTCTAAACCTCAGTCCGTATTCCCATGGCGGGGACTTTGGGATCGAAAGGACTCCTGCAATCTACAATTCTGTATGTTCTCATCATCTCATCGTTATATATGAGTGAGAGATTCCATGCAGGATTCGAAGGGGCTGACTCCCAACTTCCTCGATACAGATATCGAGAAATGCGTGCCGAAGTTCACACCCTTGTGGAACATGATTGATAATCCTTTCGTTTCGGTGGCAGTGCTCGGTTCTACTGTGTATGGACATATCAGCGACCACTCCATATAGCGCCACGCTACCCAAGTGCTGGATAATGTGGACACTAAATATCTACGCTCGTTAGCTGGGTAAGCAGAAGCTGGAGACCCCAGATTATCGTGTCGGCGGCATGCATAGCAGTAGGCCTTTCAGCTTCACTGCAGTGTCTGCAGTGTGTAAGATCTATTTACTGATGGGTATGGGACAGCTTCTGGGAGTTGGTGGTGGTCAACCCTCGTCGGCGACGATGGCCAACATTGCCAGCGCCACTACATATGGCGTGTTTGTCCTGTCGGCTCCTATCACAGGCTCAATCCTCAACCAGGTCGGCCCCCGGACTTCCTAGTTGTCGCGTGCACAGGCTATCCCATCTTCAGTGGCTCACGCTGGTAGTATCCCGAGCATGCACATCTGTGGTTCCCAGTAGGTCGCGGCCGTCTATCAAAGTCTTGCGGGCGCCAGCCTCTGGACCAGTGCCGTCTACATGTGTACGGGTACGCGGAAGAGCAATACAAGGCATGTTGGCGGTCAGTTCAATGGATTTTCAACATGCTCGGCGCTTCCATTGGTGCATCGGTTGGTCCCTGTATCACCTGGGATTCAATCGTCCTGGGCGTACTCAAGTCGGTCTACATCACATTCGTGATCCTTCAAAGCTGTTCACCTTTCTTCGCATTACTCGTTCAGCTGCACCAGAAACTCCGACGAACTGACAGAACAGCTATTGCGAGTTTTGGCCATGTCCACTTCAGGGACTCGATCCGAGTCATGGGTCGGCTGCTCTGTGAATGGAGGACTCTTCTCCTACTCCCGGTCATGTTCTCGCCCGAGCTCTTTTTCCCTTTCCAGGCCAACATCAATGCATATACCTTCAATCTCAGGACACGCAACCTCAACATCCTCTTGAATACTCTCTTCCAATTTCCTGTCACGGCAATGCACACGTGAGTCCTTGATCGATGTGCCAAATCCCGGAGGAGACGACTGTTCGTCAGCATTACCGTTAATTGTGCGTGGATCACGGGAGCCTATATCGCGCAAGCCATCTGGCTCAACTCCTGGAACTTCAACTGGAAAATCCCAGGACCGGAAATTGATTGCACCGATAAGGCGGACCGAGGTGCTATGATGGTCTACCTCTCCTATGCGGCGCAGTATGGCATGTTTCAAAGTCTTGTGCTGTATGTTCTCGGCAGTTTCACCTATGATCCCGTCAAGGCCGCGGCCTGTGGTGTTTTGTATACTGGAGGTAAGTTCAACCCTTACAACTCGTCCGACCATCAGTTTCTGATTATCTATATAGTTCTCAGTGCAGGTGCCGCTGTGTCTTTTGGAAAACGGCCACAGAAACCAACTACGGCAAGGAAGAGGATGTTATCATGCCCGTCCGTATTCTACGGAGATGGGCATTGGGGACGACGTTGTCGTGCAGGAACGTCCCGAGAAGCTCAGTAACAGCGAGAGACGGCTGTCTAATGCTTGGGCATCGGGACAGGGTGTTGTGCTCCAAAATATTCGGGAAGGACAATTCTCTTTGCACACGGGCAGGACTGGCGGTTATAGCCTATCAATCAGGTCTCCCCAGTCTTCATAGCACTGTTTCAACGCCAAACTCGTGTCCATATAGCCAAATATAAATCCATCCCCTCCGCGTCTCTTTCAAGTCATTCCGTGACACACTGCTCCACATTTACGATAGCTGACCAGCCAAGTCAGGCACCTGAAGAACTACACGGGCTCTACTTCGCTATATACTACGGGGAATTAGTCTAACCGGAGGTAAGGCACCCTCTGGAGGCCATTGTCCCTCGAGTGGCATACACTAAGGGTATTTAGTTTAGCCACGATTCACGAAACTTAAGCTCTCAAGTCTCAGAGCCCGCATGCACTCTCATACTTCGCCCACGTAGCCTCACCGTTCCTAACTTCAGACAGATTATCCCGGTGATACATCCCCAACAGCACTTCTATGTCGTCGCGGCGGAAGCTAAATACTGCTTGTTTGATCCGGCGCAAGCGAAAGGTCAGGTGTGATGCAGAAAATGGAGGTCCTTGCACCGCTTGCAAGAGAGCAAGGGTTGAATGCAGGTTCGTCCATGGTCAGAGGCTCGACACCTCACAGCTCTCATTATATTGTGGGATGCTCATTCAGTCCTTAGTTCCTTCCTCCAACGACAGGCACAACCTTTACTTTTCCCCAAGACGAGCTTTGGGCAGGGTTCAACTTCAAACGAACAATTAGACGAGGTAGTTGGTCGTCTTAGCGCATAAAGTCACACACATTCGCCAGTATCGTCACAGCACCTCCAGGAAACCAAGGGACAACAGGACGAGAATCTTTCACGATTCTTCGGCCATACCGTGGTGTCATCAGACTAGAGTCTCTTCGACCAGAATGGTGTCATCCGAATCGCTTACATTGGCACCGATACTGCCAACCTGAATAACCTTGTGCGGCCTCATGAAACGCGAATCCATGACACCCATCGGCCTCAGTACTTGCACTATCCCATCCCATCATTTCACCCTCCGCTACCTTGGAAACCTACATCGGACCTGCTCAGTGGACATTATGTGACACCAGGTGCCATCACTGACCTGACTAGCTTCCCCGTTCGTGAAGTCTGCGACTCCTCGGTTGAAACTTACTTCACCGAGATCCATCCCAGTATTCCCATCATCGATGAAGCAGACTTCCTCCGAAGCTACGCTGATCCCAAAACCCCACCACTCTTACTCCTCTTCCATGCGGCTCTCCTCGCGGCAGCCCGAGTCAGTGACCGTCCCATGTTGGTGTGGTCTCGGGCCACTGCTACAGCAACTCTGTATCGCCGTGCCCGTGCGCTCTTCAACCTTAGATACGAGAACGATCGTCTGCTCCTGGTTCAGTCGTCCATGCTCGTGGCAAGGCACACTGAGAACCCCGACACGGTTGGATGCAATAGCTACTGTTAGATTAGCAACGCTGTGCGGGTTGCGCTAGGTCTGGGCATGCACCGCAAAGCAGAGACCATATACGCGTCAACATACGAAAGGCGAACCCATCGAGTCCTCCACAAGGCGTGGGAGTTCGGAGTCTAATGACCGTTCTAGATAAGAGTCAGTTCTGGAGTATGATGGGCTGGATACATCCCCAGCATATTATTGGAATTTGTCGTTTCTGGACGGATAATCAGACCTTGCCTATTCGGGAACCTTCCCCATTGGGAAAGTATTTTAGACTCGACTATCCGAAATACTCGGCACAGTAACTTCCCAGCCAGAGCCATGCAATGGTCGCTCAGACTCGCTCGCGCTGCTGGGGGCCAATTTCTGCCTCTTCGCTTCTGCATGTGCTCCGTCCTCCGCGCAGATAGATGTGGTGAAGAGAGAGACCTGCAACAAAAGTCCAGTGGACTACGGACCCCCTCGTAGTTGGCGCCTTATCACACATGTCTCACCTACAAGCATACTTGGGAACTAAATAGACTCAGAGCTGAAGATCGGCAGTGCCAGACTGGAACCTCCTTTTCCAGTCGAAGCGTTCCAGCGAGACAGATATTCGGCCCTGAAGGCGTCTCTCTTTCCAGTCAAACCCCAGACTTCACGCAGACTATGCTGCCGCATGCAAGGGTTCTCGTGGAATGCCCATTTGATGAGAGGTCTTAGTTCCTGGTCCCCCTCCTTCAATAAACCCAACATGCCCTGCTGGTGGCCAGGTGGATGGAATTCCACCACTTCAATGTCGTCGCGTGCAAGGAGCTTTTCCAGTCTCTCGAAGAGCTCTCCCCCACTGGTGAATGTGGTGTGGCATGACCATCGTCCCACAGGATACCGACCTTCAACCTGCGTGTGCCGTCACCTCTTTTGAGAAAGTCGATATCATCTCTCCATGGGGGATGCTCTGGTCAACCCTGTCGTGTCGACCCCCAGCGCCGACTCTCATGACAAGCTCGACGTCGTCCAAACTGGGGCACATGGGCCCAATCACGCTGGGGATCTAATCTCTTCCTGCGAAAAGACCTGACATTCCGAACAGCGTCAGCCGACCCGAGGAGGGTTTAAATCCGTAGAGTCTATTAACGCCTGTAGGCTTGTATATACTCCTACTAGTAACGGAGCTAATATCTGGGGGACTTCCCCTCAGTGCTAACAAGGCACCTTCGCTGCCCGAACTGCCTCCGCAGATTAAGGGTTTGTTATACAGATTGACCGTGGTTTCCACAAAGCTCGGATGAAGTGTCCATGGCCATCTACAAGCTGGGTTAGCAGTTAATTTCCCACGTGACCCACAACCAGAATGCGTGATGCTTACCAAGATTTGTGGTTGAGTCGTTCTGGTGAAGAAAATAGCGCCAGCATCATAAAGAGTCTCCAAAACAGCCGAACTTGTCCTGGCAATCGCTCCCACGCGGACTACGTACGAGAAGTTCGATTCCTATCCTTTCATATAGATGTGCTCCTTCGTACTGATTGGGAGGCCATGGAGGGGTCCGATGGGCTGTTTATGCTCTATGAAGTATTTGTCCAGGGCCTCAAGATCGAGAAGTTATCGCACTGGCTTGTCTGTGTTGAAGAATTCATCGTCGGTAAGAATTTTGCCTGGTACCGTGGTCACATTGGAAGAAAGCCGCTCCGCGAAGGCCGTTATGGTCGGCTGAACCTTGGCAATCGATGCATCTCTTTGCTCTCTGACCTGCTGAATTCTTTCGTTCTTTGAGGTTGAGATCGATATCGCTGTAGAATGATCCAGTGTAGACATGCTGTCGAATCAACAAGGGGCAATGGAGTCTGATACCGCTATATTCGTGATGATGTAAGAGATTTGCGAGGGGAGGTGGCCGGAATTTATACAAAGCATATTGCACCAGGTGGAACGCTTCCTTCATATGAGGACGCGATGGATGTGCTCCTCTGCCCGAGCTTCCCTGGTGGTGCATTCCCTTTAGACAAGACAAAGTACTAGGGGCATACCTCCATCTTTGACCTTCTAGACTACCCGGCCCTAGCCTTCCCCGTCACGACCAGCAATCCGGAGAAGGATCGAATCGACGCCGATTCCAAGCCCCGGAACGAAGACGACAGGTTGGTACAAGAAGTCTGTGAGTGCTCGGCGGTATGGCTCTCTACACATTCATACGCCTGACCTAACCTCTATCTAATTCAGATGACCCGGAGCTCTATCGTGGGGTCCCTATTTCCCTGCAACTGGTGGGGAGACGGCGGGATGACGAAAAGGTAGTCTGCGCCCTCTTGAAGGCGTCGATGCTCAAGGTAACGACTGGGCGCCAGGTTTTACAATCCATGCGGTTCATTGAGGAGAGAATTGGGGTAGCGGATCTCGCCAGTTCAGCCTCCTCGTGATACATATTCTCGGGTTGGAGCCCACCACCCACCAGGGAAGACGATTTGAGCCGTGCTCTCTGAGGAAGCAGCCTCTGCGATGCGAGAAAGAAAAGTGGCAGGTAGTTTTCATCCTTATGACAAGGAGGTTTCTGCGGAGCTTGATGTCGTTACTACTTGTATGTAAATAAACCCGCGGATATCATCTGCCGGTTGAAGGATCGGCGGGAATCAAACACCGAGATCGAACATATCGTCCGTCTTCCCCTCACACGAAGAACGGAGCGTCGACACAGTATCACACACCTGGTACACATATATATCGTTTGGTGGGGGCAATTCACACACCGACCTCTTCCCGAGTACTCTCACATCCCTTTGAAGGCTCGTGGTAAGCATTACTCCTTCAGGCTTTTCTTTCTAGTCTGTTTTGCAGAAATGGTGCAACTAGGCTCCAGCGGCCCTAGTCTGGCAACCCCAGGGCCCAAGTATGGACATCTTTCCGAGGTTGACCCCAACTTTGCTCTTTTGAAGGACGAAGTCGACAAAAACTTTGCAAATCTATGGGCGCTTCCCTTGGAAGAGTTCAAGGCTGCATGGCTGAGTGCACCAGTCCCATTGCCAGACAACGCACCCGAACCAGGGAAGGACTATCAGGTTCTAAACAAGGAGGCTGTGGTCAGGGACGGCGCTCGAATAGGTCTGAAGATATACAAGCCTCAAAACTCCAATAACGATACAGTGCTGGTTCTCAAAAGCCATGGCGGAGGTAAGTAAGCTATTGTGTTGACTAAAGAAAGACTCTCATTGTAGACAATCCAGGTTGGGTAGTTGGTAGCCACGAGGTCGAGGAGGTGGATAATCGCTTCCTCGCTGCCAAAGCCGGTGCGACGGTGGTCAGTGTGGACTATCGTATGGCACCTGAGTATAAGTTTCCATACGCCATCAATGACTGCTTCGATGTGCTGAAGTGGGTAAGTTCATTAGACTAGTCTGCGCATACACGTGTGATGATACTAACAGAATCTTCAGTGCAAATCACACGCTTCGGACCTAGGGATCAACCCCGAAAAGATAATTGTCGCTGGGGGAAGTGCTGGAGGCAATATTGTGAGTGTGACTGGCAATAAAATGTCTCCATCCTGCTCGAGCCGTAGGTTAGTAACATGTCGACAGGCTGCTGTCCTCGCACTCAAGGCTCGAGATGAGGGTGTTACGGGAATTATCGGCCAGATATTGAATATTCCTGTCACTTGCCATCCGGATCTATTCCCGTCAGACAAGTATGAAGGCGGCAGCTACCAGCAGAACAAAGATGCGAGTATCATTGATGCACCGAAGATGAGGTGGTTCTGGGATCAGTATCTGCCAGACGTGCAGCCCGATCCTTATGCGAGTCCGTTGCTGGCAAAAGACCTCAGCAATCTACCTCCAGCTCGTAAGGGCTTTCCATTCCAGCGCAAATCCGATATACTGACTGTAGCTGTAGTTATCCAGGTCGCTGGTATGGATCCGCTTCGAGACGAAGGCCTTGCATACGCCGAAGCACTCAAGGCTGCCCAGAACTCGGTGACGGTAAACACATTCAAAGGCCTCCCTCACGGCTTCTATTTCTTTCCTCAACTTAAGCAGACACTGGAGTTTTGGGACAACTCGGTCAAGTTTGTCAAAGGTCTCGCGGCCAAGGCGTAGTTATCAAGACACCTCGATCCTTAATCCTTGATGCCTGTCTTAGCATACAGATTTCTGCGATCTAAGTAGAAATAGCAAGGGATTGAGCAAGGAAGCAAGGGACAAGGGCAATCTTAGGGGGAAGCTCCACAAATTCACAAAAAGCCGAAACCGCAATGTACGGATCGTGCAGACTAAATGCCTACGCCATACCAGCTTTGTACATGCCACCGCGGGGAGGATTGTTGCTTGAAAAAGGCGGGGTTGTGGAACAAGTGTCAACTACCGACGTTGGAGCACGGAGGGGCTGACTTGTTGAATTCTTCATTTCTACATGATCAAAGAAAGAGTGAAAGTATCACAAACCTCGTATTGATGCTGTCAGATTGCTTATGACACCATCAGGGGTAATCACAGCTCTCTAGAACTCAGAACCATCAGACCTCGCGCAGCCCTGATTCATCATGTCATTCGATCAGCAGCTTGAATCCGCCGCCACGCCTGGTCCGGGCCGAAAGATTGTTGGAGCTGTCGCGATAGCAGCTGATGCTTCCGGTGAAGTAGCATGATTGCCACCATCACGGAGTGGCTTTGGCTGACAGCGTCCAGGAAATACCATCTACCATGGCGCAAAGGGCTTCACCTCTGTTATTCCGGAGACTGCCAGGCCGATGACGGAAGATACCACCTTCTGGATCGCTTCGTGCACAAAGCTGCTGACTACCATTTCGGTCATGCAGTGCGTAGAGCAAGGTAAACTGAGCCTTGACAACGATGTCTCCACAATCCTCGATGAGTGGACGTCACCAGACATCTTGACGGGGTGGAAGCCAGACACTGGAGAACCAGAGCTCAAAAAAGCAACGAAGAAGATAACTTTACGCCAGCTGCTCACACACTCTAGTGGCATGGGTTATGATTTCCTTTCGCCAGAACTTATCAAGTGGCGACAATGGCGTGGG